CTCACCAGCCCCACCTCTTTGGTCTTCAGACAGCATTTCAAAACACACTGTGGCAGGATAAGATTCTAAAGTGTTTCCTTTGCTTTGGGGGCAGGGAGGGGGAGGCTCGGAAATTATTTATCATTATATTTGATACCCTCACTGTCTAATAACAGAATAATATTATCTAGATGACAAGAGCATTCAAAATTTTATTGTAAAAACCATGTAACAGCATTACATTAAAATGTTGGGAAAACACCGTTTACAGTCCTGACAACTTTACAGTAGTTTAATTTCCTTATAGATCTTTTCCATATTCTAATATACACATACAAGCAGGGGATCATCATATAAAGAGGATCCTTTAAAAATATCTTATTGACAGCAGAAGATACCATTTAAATAGATCATGTAAGCCTTCAGCTTTTAAAAATTTCAACTGAAACACTGAAGAATAAGGATGCCCAGGGTCCCGACGTACTGCAGTGAAAACACCCAGAATCTTCCGGGAAGAGATGGAAAACTAGAGAGAATTTTTCTCAGCAATCCACCCTGACCTGTGGACATGGGGCTGCAATGCCCACTTTCGATCAGTTTCCAGGAGCCAGAGGAAGCAGTGCTTGACTCGGGGCTGTGATCCGTGCTGACTACCCAAGGTGACAGGTCTTTCACTTGCAAACCTGTTGCTCCCGGATTCCACCCTGCACAGAGGTGAGTGTACAACCTGGAGGCTTATTATCCCTGGATGTTTCTTTATGAAACCGGGTCTGTGAAGAGTAAGTATTCTGACCAGGACAATTACTTTCAATCAAATGTGCATAAAGAAAGTGAGTTATTTTTAGTCATAAGTTCATAGCTGAAATCATTTGAGGATACCTTTTCCTCCTAAGTTATATATGCTACACAGTCTCCTTAATTGTTTAAATTATGAATAATCATTCTAGAGAAATTATTCACTACAAAGAACAGACACAAAACCTTTAATTCCACCTTCAATCTGAGGCCACATAAGCACAAGAACCCACAAGAGGCAGCTATTGCAGTAATAGTCCCTTTCCCAGTGCTGGGCAAGGCTGAAGCCTGGAATCAGGAGCTTCAGCCCCCACATGGGTGCAGAGGCCCAAATTCTTAGGCCATCCTCTGTTGTATTCCTAGACCCATCAGCAGTGAGCTGGAGTAAAAGTGGAGTAGTGGGGACTTAAACCACTGCTGCTATGGAATGCTGGCCTCGCCAGTGGCAGCTTCTCCTGCTGCGCGCAATGCTGACCCTGTGGGTTTTGTATCTGTGGTTTTACAGAATCCATTCAAGTGGCCTGTTAGACAAAGCACACAGTTCTTTTGGACTCTGACTTAAGAGTCTGAATTTTAAAATTTCTTATCTCTAAGTCCTTATAAATAAGTACCTTTACACACATTTGATTTTTTAAAAAGCAATTCACCTGCTGATTCTGATGCATACTAAAATCACAATAAATGTACTCAGTGCTGATCTTTAAAATCACAAGTGTTCAAGAATTTGGTATTAATCTTTGACTAAAATGACAATCACCATTAAACTCTAAAACTGCATTCCAATATGCATCAAAACAAATTAACAAACTGAGCAAGAATAATGCAAAAGCAAACCAACAAACGAATAACCCTTCCCGTTGAACTACATTTAATGTTTTCAGCTGTGGAAGGGATGAACCCCCATTTCACAGATGAGGAGTTTGAGGCACAGGGAGGTCCATGACCTGCTGAGGTACTTGGAGAGAGAGGCAGAGCCCCCTGCACATGACTGTTGGCCAGGCCTCACAGGAGGAGCATCCCCAAAGGAACACACTTTGCTCCCCAGGCCAGCACCCTGGTGCGTGGTTTGGGGGTCTTGTCCTTACCAAGTGTCCATCACAGAATAGAGAGGTACATTCTGGAAAGGACACAAGTAGCTAAAGACACAGCAGGTGTGCACGCTGAGGAGGAAATGCAACGTTGTGAGGGTCCTCGCACAACCACAGCAAAACTACCTTTTAGTCACTCAGTGTCACATGTCTCTTTTTCACCATTCAACGTCACACATCTTTACGTAGCTAACTGTAAACCTTCGGTAAATCATGACGCTTACTCACTAATCCTACTTACCAAAAGTATTTTTCCTTGTAGAATTTCAAAACATAAGCTTTTAGAACACACCGGGGGAAAAAAATAATTTACTAGCCTTTTTTTTTCCTCCTGCAAATATTATTTTACCATTAGCAAAAGTCCATAACTCATTCTTGGCATCCCAGCTCTTGTCTTTGCAGTGTCAACTAATGCCTACGGAATGCTTTTCCCTATTCCTTGTGTCATAATGTGAGATCAGCTCAACTCTTTCTAGAAGAGTAACAATGTTGACAGCAACCATCTAACTTGACTCACTTTTATCAGAAAGCAATCTAACATCCCATACAGAAAGGAGAACAGAGACAGGAGGTGGAGAGCAGTCTACTGGACAAGGCAGAAAGTGATTTCGCTTCTTACAGAGCGCAGTTGTATGAGGCAAGGCTGCAACTCCAAACAGTGCCTAAGTTCCCTAATGCTTATACTTTCCAAACTCAAACAGTTGTTTAGGTGGACCAGGCTGCAGCATGAATGTTATCATTCAGCTACTTTGTAACATTTCATCACTAATTGCAGGGGAAGACAACCCTCAGAAACAGGTCCTCATCTGACCTCAGCTAAATACCTACAGATCTGCCAAGTCCCTGCAAAGAGGAACAAGAAGGAAACCTGTTTGGTGTGGACTACACAGCAGCTACCTACTGTCCCTAATAAATTCTGCGAAACACTTTTTTTTTTTTCATTAGCCAGAACACCTAGATCATCATAGAAGGTTATAGTCTGAGAAACAGCAGTGTATCTTTATGACCCTTTGGGGGAAGGTGAAGAGACACTCTTTGCTGTGTTGTGGGAAGAGTTCAGAAACTTTTTATGTCTCATCAAAGGTTCCTTGGGTAGGGAGTACAGGTGCACCTGACCCTACAGTGGCCCCTATTTGGATCAACACCACAGCCCCACCCAACCGAGTGAGGTAGGGGGTGTTTTTATTTTAAGTATTGCTGTTTACAGCATTTTAATCTAGACTTGAGACCTGGGGGTTGGGGTGGAGGGACTTGTTTCAGAAACGTCTGAAAACAACCCAGGTTTTCCTTCTTTGAGATTCTGGAGCTGGTGTGCTGAGCAGGAGTGGACAGGGCTAGGCCGGAGATGTGGAAGGATTCTCAGAATGGAGTGCCCAGACAGCAACCCTGCTGCCCCTCAAGACACCCTTGTGAAAAACTGCTAGTTCCCTCCTGTTGGTCCCCATTGCTCATACTGATGTTAAAAAAAAAAAATCCTGGGCCCGGCGCGGTGGCACAAGTGGTTAAAGGTCCTCGCCTTGGACACCCGTGATCCCATATGGGCGCCGGTTCTAATCCTGGCAGCCCCGCTTCCCTTCCAGCTCCCTGCCTGTGGCCTGGGAAAGCAGCCGAGGACAGCCCAAAGCTTTGGGACCCTGCACCCGCGTGGGAGACCCGGAAGAGGCTCCTGGCTTCGGATCGGCATGGCATCGGCCGTTGCGCTCACTTGGGGAGTGAATCATCGGACGGAAGATCTTCCTCTCTGTCTCTCCTCTCTGTATATCCGCCTTTCCAATAAAAAAATAATAAAAATAAATCTTTAAAAAAATCCTTACCAGTTTTCAGCCAAATAAAAGTTTCTGTATTTTCTGGAGCCCAGGTGTAAAATGGCAGCATTAAACTATTCTGCCACCAAAACACCATCACCCCGTCTTTAAAAAGGGTAGATTTTAAACAGAGGTATACACATATTTAATAGCATAAATATCCTGGTATGAGTAAAGATGCCGTGTTGGACTCATTGGCACTTATGAATGCGTGGCCCAACGTCTTCAATAAAAAAAAATCGCCTTTGATCATTTGATCATAGTGAGGTGGTTATGCCCTTTTTATATGTATATATGATTACTGTTTCTACAAATCTTAAATTCCCAGTAAAGCTGCTACATTCTCAGTCTCAGAGCTGATTGGCTCAAAACATCTGTGGGCCAGTGTATGTCGGGACCCTCTGCTGGAGGAGGAGAGAGTTCTTGGGGAGGAGACAGGGGGCTGAGCAGCGTGCTTCACCGTAGCCTGCTCTCCTGCTGGCCAGCAAGCGAATTCTGTGGGATGGATAGGATTTAGCACTCGAGAGAGGATTCCCCAGCGCCGCTCCAAAGGAGGATCAAACACACCCGGTCTATACTGGTGGAAGAGCCACAATCCACCCCCCCTCCCAACCACCACCAGCACTAAGGAGAAAGTACCCGTTGAATGCAGCACGTGGCTCTTCCCAAAGCCCCTGTGCAGGTGTCTGCGGTGTGGATGGGGTGGCTGTGCCTCCGGAACAGATCCGGCGCCAAACCTCTCTTGCTGCCCTAATGGATCAGCTCTGCCAAGAAGCGCAATAGCGCACCGCAGAGGAAGCGCTCTGGGCAAACTTGTATCTGCACTCTCCCAAGTTTAGTCCCCAAAGGATTAAGGTCATCAAAAACTGCTTACTTCTCACTGCCTTTTGTTTCTCGTCCAGGAAACAGTTATCACCACTCACAGGGAACACAGCGGCTCCCCTCCCCCTATCCCTCTCCCTCAGGCGTCACTTCACTTCACCGCCTCTTTTCCAAACTGTCCCCCTGCAAAGCTTGGGAGACGCCGGCAGGGCGGGGACGCCAAACTGGGACCGCGCGTAAAGACGCCCAGCAGCACTGGTATTAACCCATTAACTCGGAAGGATCTGGGACGGCGACTGGCGAGCGTTTCTATTAATAGGGGATAAAGCTCTTGCAGACCTTAATGCCCTCGCGGCCCTGGGCCAAGTTAACTCCTCCCAAACCAGGGAGGGGAGACCACGTCCCGTCCAGGCAGACGCGCGCCTGAAACGCGCGTGTACACACGCACACCCGAGTCTCAAAACCGTTCCCTTTCACCAGGCGGACCCCAATCCCGCCCATAGTGGTGTCTCCAGGGAGGGAACTGGGAGGTGGGCGGACGGCTGTGGGTCAGCTCAGCTTTGCCACACATATGGCCAGGGCTACAGCGGCCAGCAGCACGGCACTGAAGAGGGTGGCAGCCAAGGCCTTGCTAGGATCGCAGGGTCCCGATCGCTCTTCCACCGACAGGCCTCCGGCCGAAGCTGCGCCCGCGCTAATGCTGGACTGGAGCTCAGCGCCTGCCGTCTGCCGGGCCTGCACTGTCCAGCGAGGCACGTTGACTTTCATCTCCATGTCTTGGATCATCTCGCCCACCTGAAGGACCTCACGCTCCAGCTCCTGTAGGTCGGCGACGTCGAAGTCGCGCTCCGCCTCGTGCCGAAGGTTGCGGGCGCTCAGGGCGCGTGCCGCCACCCCGGACGCGTCACCCGCCACCCCAGTGCGCACCAGCGGCCGCCGCGGCGCGTGCAATGGAAAAGCGGAGCCCAGCGCCAGCGCGCGCTGCATGTCGGCTTCCAGCAGGTCCAGGCAGCCGGAGAAGGTCACCCAGAGGCGCTCGAACTCGGTGCGCTCTTCGGCAGCCAGGCCCCGGTCGCGCAACTCGCCTGTCAACCGCGCTCCGGTGGCCACCGCCAGCTCGTGCGCCTTCTGCCGCGTCTTCTGCAGCTCCTCGCGCAGGTTCTGCGAGTCAGCCGAGCCGCCGACGGTCAGCACCAGGTGATGGTAGCACGCGGTCGTCCTGTTGAGCGCATCCAGCAGCGCTTTGCACTCTTCCCGTGCCATGGTGCCGCGCTCCTGCCCGGCTGCCGCCCCCTCTCCGTCTCAGACCCTCAGCGCCGCAGGATGCCGCTAGCCCTCGTGCTGGCCTTGGGCCGGGCGGCCTGACCACCGCTGCTCATGGCCCACGACTTGCTCTTGCTACCGTCGACCGACCCCGCGCGGACCCGCGACGTGCCTCCCCAAAGACTCGTGAGGCGAGACGGCGTCCCTGTTAGCTTGCTCGCACTGTCTTCCGCATCCTCTCCAGAGTCACGCGCGGTTTCCCTGCCGGACCCTCGCCTGCACCGCGGCTGCCCGCGACGCCGAGGCTGTCGCCTCCATGCTCTTCGGCCCTAGCCACAGGGCTAACGGACCGCCGGGGAGCAGCGCGTCTGGCCCGAGCGGCTGCCGAGGACCCGCCCACCGCGCCCGTCCCCGCTGGGCACCTCCACCCCCGGACCCAGGACAGGCGGGGCTGTGCGGGGGCGGTCACGTGTGGGGCCTCCATCTGTCCCTCCCCGGCAACCACGGTAGTGCTGCCCTGCTAACGATCGGCACGCCCACTCTTTTCCCATTTTGCAAAAGAGGAAACTGAGACCCCACGCGCAGTCCCCTCAAACAGAGGGGGGTTAGAACACAGGGACACTGAGTCCTGGGACCCTACTGGCAACTGGGAGCGGTGTGAGCAGTAGGCCCGGGCTCCTCTGACATCCAGGTGGAGCAGAGAGGTGCGCTCTGCCAGGCTGGCCCGTTCCCCGTCCGGCTCTCCCATCCGTCCCCGTCCAGGCCCCCTTTCCGCCCACCCAGCTTGGAGCCCACCTCTAGGGCCAGCCCAGCTCTTGGCCCCGCCCTTCCATGTCTGGACACGCGCAGTCGGCGGCGCTGGGCAGGGCTAGCCAGAGTAGGAAGCGCGGCGAGCCGCCCTGGTCCCTCCCCCGGAGGAGCCGGATTCCATGATTGCTCTACCCACGCGTCACTCGGAACAGTATCGGCCGCTCATTGGGCTTGTCTAGGACGAGGCTCCGCCCAACGGCGGAGCTAGGGGGTGGGCTGTGGCGCCCAGCGGCCGCGCCTGGGTGGTGGGCGCTGAGGTCCGAGCTGGGTCCCCGGAGCTGCAGCCCCAGTCCCGACGTGGGCTGGCAGTGAAACTATGTAGGTTTTAAGTAAGTGTCGTCCCGCGCCTCTCCTCTCCCCGGGTCTGCTGCGCTCCGGGCCTGGAGGCCCGGCGAGGCTGCGGAGGGGGAGGGGTTCTCTCCTTCCGTGGCGGGCGCCCCAGGCTGGGCCACTGCTGGCCCCTCGCCCCGTGGACCACCCCGTACGCCTCTCCCCTGCCGTCTCCAGGCCCTGGCCGCCGAGGGGCGCGCTCTGCCCACTCTGCCCCGCGCATGTGTGTCCAGGGGTCGGCGTCAGGAATGCACCCTCTTCTGAGCCCCGCGACTCCGGACGGGTGGACGGATCGACGGGCTGGGTGGTTGCCAGCCCCCCGCGCTCCGGCGTGGGGGGCTGTGGGTGCGGCTGGCGCCCCGAGTCACCCCTGCGGTTTCCTGGAGGCGAGCGGCCCGGGCGGAGGGGCGGCTTGGGGGAGGGTGCGTTTTGGGGCCTCACCCGGGGTTTGGTTGTGGTCCCCAGAGGTGATGGAGGTTCGCGGCCGAGGCAGGGGGGATGGGGGGGGGGAAATCCCTGCTTGCCTGCGGCGGGATGGGGGAGGGTCTCCTGGTGTCCCGTGGCGAAAATGAATGCAGGAAAACTCTTGAACACCCGGAGGTGTTCCCCGACTCCATCTGTTGGGTTTGTTCGTTGAAAAGGCATTTACTGCCCAGCTGCGCGCCAGCCTGGCGGTGCCTTTCTGGCCAGCCTTCAAAGTGTGCCCTTTGAGCACGGGTGGTCCCGACCTCATTGAGGGTTCAGGATGTTTGGGGACCTGAGAGAGGAGTATGGGCAGGCATGTTAAGGTGCACACGGACCGGAACTTCCCAGGCTTATGGGTTTTATTGGTGCGGAGAGGACTCTGATACACGCAGAGTGGAGCAGTGGTTGCATCCAGGGCGTGGTGTTGGCACACTGGCGTGCAGGGCTCGCTGCTCTTAGTTGTTTGTACTTTAAGCAGTATATCGAACGGCTTGAGGCCATTCTCCTCGGAAGGAAGGTCTCAGCTACCCATGGGTGTCGTGGCTACTTTAGAAGGGGAGCTTTGGGAGCAGAAGGCTGGATGTGAGAGTCTGGGCGCCAAGCAGCCAGGGTGAAGGTTGTGCTGCCCTGGGGAGTGTGTGCTGCGGGGGTGGGGACCCTTTGAAGAGTGCTACACACATCAGTGTTGGAAATATGACTTTGATGTGTTTCCTGTGTGGGCAGGTGCCATTAAATGGGAGCCCTGTGGGCCTTGGAGGGAGGAGATGCCGCATGGCAGTGGGAGTGGGGGCTTGTGAGCAGCACTAGTGGCAGGGAAGCCCCTCGGTGCTGCTTAGTTGCCCTATGTATTCCCAGCTTTAGCTCCCAGCCCTAGCTTGTTGTCGGCTTTACTGGAGTCTGGCTCCCGCCTAGGCTCAAGGTCTTAAGCATGCCTCCTTGTGGCTGCCAGATTGCATCGCCCTGGTGAGTCTGGTGTTTCCGTGACCTCTGCTCTGTTGGGACTGTGCTGTGTTGATCGCTCGCCAGTGCTGGGCAGGTGTCCAGCAGCTCCATCCGCTCCTCGAGGAGCTGGAGGAATATCGCTGTATCACGACCCGCTTGGACCAGAGCAGCCCCAACCTGATGTGTTCTGAGGTTGATTCTTACTGCCTGAGGTGCTGCGGTGTAAGCTTGGCGCTCCTGCCTTGTGCTCAGGACACGGGTGGAGACTTGGGTGCCTGGGGATGCCACTTGCAGCTCCAGGAGCTGGGTGGGCGGGTGCGTGGCATTCTGAAGGATGGTGATGTTCCTGTGTACTTTCTGTTCCTTCTGTTAACCCTGCACGTTCCAGCTGCTGCGGTGTGGGCCCAGGTCTGAGCACCTCACTTTGTTTAGGCGTTTTGCACTTGACTACTGTCTAAGATTAGACAGGCTAGATGTAGGCAGTGGATTCCCTGCCTCTGGGAGATATGATCACTTCATGAGAGCTTAAGTTCCTCTTTTTTTTTTTTTCTTTTAAAGATTTATTTATTTTTATTTTAAAGGCAGATTTTACAGAGAAGGAGAGACAAAGACTAATCTTCCATGTGTTGATTCACTCCCCAAGTGGCCAGAGCTGAGCTGGTCCAAAGCCAGGAGCTTCTTCAGGGTCTCTCCTGTGGGTTCACGGCCATGGCTTTGGGCCATCCCTCACTGCTTTTCCAGGTCACAAGCAGGGAGCTGGATTGGAAGTGGAGTAGCCGAGACATGAAACAGGGCGCATATGGGCTGCCAGCACCGCAGATGAAAGATTAACTTGGTGCACCATTGCACTGGGCCCTCGAGCTTCCTCTTAACACCCTCACTACAATGTGGCCGAGATCCTGTTCTGGTGACAGGCCAGAAGCACTGCAGTAACTCTCAGAGCATATGTTACATTGCTAAATTGCTTCCGTTGCTATTGACGGAAGAGAATGGAAAGTTTTCCTGTTCTTTGCTACCCCGACTTCTGAATCACAAATGAGAACCAACTGGAGAATCTTGCTTCTCCGTGGGCAGGCATGAGTTTGAGTAGGGGCCCTGGAAGGCTGGGAGCAGCTGTGGCTGGGATGGTTCTGCAGGGAGTGCAGTCCAGCGGGCTCAGGCCTCCGCATACTGGATTCTGCTCAGGCTGGCTGCATGCTGGCAGAATTCCTGGGCCTGTGTGGGCAGGCAGGACGGTGGGAGACCACAAAACTGTAAGTGTGCATGGCACCTCCAGAAATGCTCAACAGAAATGGGAGGTCTCCCCTGGCACCCCTGTTCAGAATGACTCGCCTCTGGGGGCGTTTGGTGTCTCCATGTCCACTGGATTTTCTGCCATTCCTTCCTCTAGGCCCAGGCAGAGCTGGGGTTTTTGGTAGGATAGCGTCAGTATTTTTTTGTATGCTGTTTTGAAATAGTAAATTCATTTTGACAAGGAAACTTGTCAGGATATTCAGGATATTTTAGCCTGTGATAAGATTCAGCCCTTGACCTGGCGCAGTAGCCTAGTGGCTAAAGTCCTCACCTTGCATGTGCTGGGAATCCCATACGGGCAATGTTCTAATCCCAGCGGCCCCGCTTCCCATCCAGCTCCCTGCTTGTGGTCTGGGAAAGCAGTTGAGGATGGCCCAAGCCTTGGTATTCTGCACCTATGTGGGAGACCCGGAGGAAGCTCCTGACTCATGGCTTCAGATTGGCGCAGCTTCAGCCATTTGACCACTTGGGGAGTGAAAAGGCAACTGATAGAATGAAAGAAAATATTAAAAAAAAAAAAAAGATTCAGCTTTGGCATTGCATGCCTTGATGCTATGTGAGCCTTTAGTTAGCACCAGGTGGGAAGGATGTGTGGTCCTGGACACAGCTCTTGGAACCCCTGCTGGATGGAAGGTGCCATTGCTGGTGACCAGGAACCCTAAAGGCCAGGAGAAGCAGTGGGCCCTGTGTGGGTGCAGCAGCTCAGAGCTGGGGCAGGGGAGTCTGCACGACTGGAGAATATGACCCTCCCTTCCCCTGCAATTTCACCTCTGCCTGGACTCTTTTAAAAAAAATCTATATTTATTTATTTTCATTAGAAAGGCACATCAGATTTACAGAGAGAAGGAGAGACAGAAAAATCTTCCATCCATTGGTTCACTCCCCAAATGGCTGCAACAGCTGGAACTGAGCTGATCCGGAGCCAGAACCTTGGAGCTTCTTTCCAGGTCTCCTATGAGGGTGCAGGGATCCAAACAAGCACTTGGACCATCCTCCACTGCTTTACTATGTCATAAGCAGGGAGCTGGATCAGAGGTGGATAAGCCAGGAACTTGAACCAGCAACTCACATGGGGGTGCCAGTGCTGCAGGTGGAGGATTAGCCTGTTAGGCCACTGCACCAGCCCCTTGCTTAGATTCTTAGTACATCCCTAAACTCATGAGCTGTAGCCAGAAAGTTTGCCCTCAGGTCTTCCATGCCCACACAGAAGGGGTTTCCACCTTCTGAGCTGCGGACTGCCCTCCTTCCATGCTGGGACTGCCTCCCCGAGCCTGCACTGCCCCATCTTCTGGGGTGCTCCCTTTCTCTGTCTGTCTCTCTTTCTCAAACTCTCTCTCTCTCCCTCCTGAGTTTCTTAGTCTCGGAGGTGGCATGCTGGCATTGTGCCAGCCGCTTGTCTGTGGGACAGGCGGCAGGTATGCTTCTTTCCCGGTTTCAGCCTAACCGTGCCTGTACATCCTGTTTCCCCTGAGAGTTTTGATCAAAGCATTGTACTGTAGTGCTGTGCACAGAGAGACAGCTTTGTTAGGACTCAAGAAGAAATACTTTGTTTCCTGGTATGACCTTGTCCTAACCAAGTTGCCTTGTCCGCCGTTGTTCTGTTGGGGACTCAGAAGAGGATCACCTGGGCCCTGGTAGTAGCTCAGTGCAGCTATCCGAATCATGGCTCAGCTGTCCCTGGGACCTGCATCATGCCCGGCTCTTCTCCCTAAAAGGATTTGCAAGGAGCTCGGGGGCCTTCTTCAGGCAGTGCCCTCCCGCCTCGGGAGAGGGAGTCTTAGCTGAGATGGGTCTGGCTGTAGCAAGGGGAATTGGGTGTGGGCCTTTGTAGCTGTCATGTGGACTTTGCCCATTAGGGAAATAAAGTTTGCCTGTGGAACATCTATGGCTCTCTCCCAGGCATATTTATTTTACATGATCAGTGGATAATAGTTGCTAAAGGGGTGAGTTTAAGAATACATTCTTGGGGCCCAGCACAGTGGTCCAGTAGCTACATTCTTGCCTTGCATGTGCCAGGATCCCATATTGGCACCAGTTCATGTCCCAGCTGCTCTACTTCCCATCCAGCTCCCTGGTTGTTGCCTGAGAAAGCAGAAGAGGGTGGCCCAAAGCCTTATGACACTTGTGGAAGTCCAGGAGGAAGCCCTTGGTTCCTGGCTTTGGATTGGCTCAGTTCCAGCCATTGTAGCCACTTGAGGAGCAAACCAGTGGATGGAAGATCTCTTTGTCTCTCCTCTCTGTAAATCTGCCTTTCCAATAAAAGAAATAAATATTTGAAAAGAATATATTCTGGAGTCCA